TATGGTATTCCCAGATTCATTCTGTATATATATTTTTGTTGCGTCAAGTCTCTTCTTCATCTATGAGGAGATTGTTCAGCTTTCACTACGATATGGGAAGACCGACATTGTGGAACAGTTCAGTCAGTGACGTGCAGAAAATTGATGTTTGGGGCCAACTCCTTGATTGTATACCCCTAAGACTCAAGTAGAGAGGATGCTATTCCGATCATGCTTATCAAAACATGGATCCACATTCATACTAGTTTGTGTGAATGTAGGGCGCTTGCACGACGAAATTAACAGACAATTTCAAAAATTAATTTTTTATTTCATTCTTTGATTGGATCCCCCTATCAATATGGATTCCAAGGGCAGTCCCACTCTCTGCCCACTTTCTTTACGCTACTGAGTTCAGTACCTTTTTTGTTTCTAATGAAATTTTCCTGTTTCTTAATACTTTGCTTAGCTTTAGGAAAACTTCTTTTGCTATTTCGTATCTTTCGCTATATCTTGCTTAAATATGGTTTCTATTCTGATATACATCTCTATTATTGAACTAATTTTCTTGGTTGTAATATAAAGCATTTAAAAAGCATCTAGTTAAAAAAAAAATAAATCATTATATTCATTTCTCTTGACATCATCATGTAATTTAAACTTATATTTACTGCCTACAATGCTAGCCGAAAACTTTTAATCCCACCTACCTTTTGATATCCTTATTAGCTATTTACATGAAATCATCTAGCAATAACCACGTCTAGGAAAATCCTCATTTGCTATGATATCACCTCTGAACTGTACAATATTTAGTTCCTCCATTATGTTCCCACAAAATGGTTCACTGCCGAGTAAAGTCTATCACATGGAAGAATATGATCAAGAATTACGTCAACTCGATTCCTTGCAGTTGTTGCAAAAGAATATTACGGTCAAACAAGCCGTTCCTAAAAGTAAGGCTAGAGGATTATCGAAAAGCTATTGTCAGTGATGAGACAATGAAATACCGTATGGCTGGCTGATCATGTATAGAGGGAAAAGGGTGAGGATCAGCCCCTGTAAATGAAGTGAAAATACTAGACAGTGAAGAACACTGGAGAGTTAGACGTTTGAAAAAAATCAGCGGATATACTAGAATATGAGAATTTGCTTAGTAGGCCAAGCATAAAAATAAATACAATATGGGACCTGCTAATACTGAAAGAAAGGCAAATGACAGTAAGTCTTTAACGGCATCAGTAATAAGAAAGACATGGACTGCAGTAGCATTAGCAGTGACAGTCTAATCAGCAGCGAAGTTTAGGTTTGAAGCTCTAAATATGCTTCCTATAGGACAATGGACTAGCGGATAGAAACGTTGGTTTGTAAATTTGAAGACATAGTGGTTGTGTGTCATTCCCTGGGTCGGGCAGTGTTACAGACATTCAGTAAAAACTGCGATAAAATAATAAATAAAATAAGGTTTTCCTGAGCAGTGGAATGAGAAACATAAATAAATGTTCGGTTCGGAAATTTCTTCAAGACACTTCCTCAGGTGATAAAAGCAACAAACATCGATGAGGATATAAATAATGTAAAAAAATATCAATATAGTAAAAAATATCTGTACTATTTGATATATATTTTTTTGCAGAAACACCCCTTGAATTGCATAAGTTCTCAAGACAACAAATATGTAAATACAATATTGCAAATGTTTTTACAAAAACAGATATTGTAAGCTAAAATGAACATCTATTTTATATATATATATATATATATATATATATATATATATATATATATATTATATATATATATATATATATATATATATATATATATATATATAATATATATATATATATATATATATATATATATATATATATATATATATATATATTATATATATATAAGTGATATATATATACATTATATATATATATATATATATATATATATATATATATATATATATATATATATATATATATATATATATATATATATATCCTGTAAATTAAACTACAAGAAGACGGAATGCATGGTCATTAGTAAAAAGAAAAGATGAGCATTAAAATCAAAAGAGATTTTCCGTTAGGAACATTAAAATCAAGCAGGTGCGGAAGTATAAATATCTGAGAAGTGTTTTGACAGAGGACGGTAAGTGCGGCACGGAGATCCGTAGACGTATTGGAATGGCCAAAGGCGAATTCCAAACGCTTGGCAGAGTATTGCAAGACAGAAGGATTCCTTTGGTAACAAAGAAAAGAGTATTGATCTATTGCGTACCATCTGTCCTCATTTACGGCAACAAATGTTAAACGGTCTCCTCAAAGATGAAGAGATTCGAGGCGACGGAGATGCGATTCTAGAGAAGGATGCTGAGGATATCATAGACTAAGCGCAAGACAGGAGGATTACTTTGGTAACAAAGATAAGAGTACTGAGCTGTTGCGTAACATTTGTCCTCATTTAAGGCAACAAATGTTAGACGGTCTCCTCAAAGATGAAGAGATTCGAGGCGACGGAGATGCGGTTCTAGAGAGGGATGCTGAGTATATCATAGACTAAGCGCAAGACAGGAGGATTTCTTTGGTAACAAAGAAAAGAGTATTGAGCTGTTGCGTACCATCTGCCCTCATTTACGGCAACAAATGTTAGACGGTCTGCTCAAAGATGAAGAGATTCGAGGCGACGGAGATGCGGTTCTAGAGAAGGATGCTGAGGATATCATAGACTAAGCGCAAGACAGGAGGATTTCTTTGGTAACAAAGAAAAGAGTATTGAGCTGTTGCGTACCATCTGTTCTCATTTACGGCAACAAATGTTAGACGGTCTCCTCAAAGATGAAGAGATTCGAGGCGACGGAGATGCGGTTCTAGAGCAGGATGCTGAGGATATCATAGACTAAGCGCAAGACAGGAGGATTTCTTTGGTAACAAAGAAAAGAGTATTGAGCTATTGCGTAACATCTGTCCTCCTTTTCGGAAACGAATGTTGAACGGTCTCTTCAAAAATGAAGAAGAGTCTAGAGGCGGCGGATATATGGTCCTGCAGAAGGATGCTGAGGATATCATGGATCAAGCGTGTGAGCAACGATGAGGTTTTGGAGAAGACGCCAACAAGGAGGAGGTTTATACTTAACATCCGGAAGAGGCAGCTGAAGTTTCTGGGACATGTAATGAGAAAGGAGTTCCTGGAAAATCTGATACTCTCAAGTCGAATAAAAGGAAAGGGAGACAAGGGAAAGCAACGCATGACATACCAGGCGGGCTTGAGCAAGTGGATGACAGAACGTGGTCTGGGGTAGGTGGCAGAAGGGTGAAAGCTATTGAAAGCTACAAGGAATAGGAGGAAGTGGAGAGCCATGATCGCCTACGTCCTGAGATGACACAGCACATGAAAAGAAAGACCTTGTAAATATAAACAACATTCTTTACAATCACTAATAATCTTACTGCCAAAACATTTATTAGAATAATGGAGTCTGACATGGTGTAATATATTTTGATTGTTCCTTTCTTTTTCTTTCTATGTGCCGTGTCCCTTCAGGACGTAGGCGATCATGGCTCTCCACTTCTCCCTAACCCTTGTAGCTCTCGTCCCTCTGCCTCTGCCACCTTCCTCAAACCATCTTCTGTCATTCAATTTCTCAAGGCCGCCAGGTATGTCACGCGCTGATTTCCCTTGTCCCTCTATTTAATCTGTGAGTATCAGATTCTCCAGGCCCTCTTTTCTCAACGTGTCCCAAAAACCTTACCTGTCTCTTCATGATATTAAGTATAAGCCTCCTCCTTGTTTGCATCCTCTCCAAAAGCCTCTTCGTAGCTCACACGCTCTGTCCATGATATCCTTAGAATCCTTCTGTAGAACCATACCTCCGTCGCCTCGAGTTTCTTCTTCATCCTTGAGGAGACTGTCCAACCATTTGCTACCGTAAAGGAGAACAGTTAGTCTGAATCTCAAAATCCAAAAGGGCCTAGGAATAGATAGTGGCTCGGAGTGAGGAATCGGAGAGCCGGGTTCGAATTCCAGTCAAATCCGTTACATTCACTTGTGTGCTAAAACCTTGGGAAAAGTATGAATCCTCTTTTCTCTCCCCAGCTATGGGTAAATATAGCAGGATAGACCTGCTTCTATAGCTATAGAAGGAAACTGGTCAACCGCAGAAAGCAATGGCAACCTGCTGCGGGAAAAAAAATCTGACTCGTCAGTCATGTATCTAAATATACATGACCGCCTAAGCGTGTATCACGCACGGAACATAACTGATGTATTTACTTATAGTATTCTCGGGTTTGCTTACGGCATTCACTTGCAATGTAGTTTACAGTTTCAATTTATTCTTTCTCGAAGATCATATTTCTGCTTTTCTTTTATTTTTTTTCTCCATTGTTACATTAATATCAATATTTTATTGATGTAAAAACTATTTATTTAATGTTTATTCATCATTTATTTTTGTGTGTATTGTTTTTATAATTCTCGCTATATTGTATACGAATACAACATAGTCTTATGTCTCACTGGAGATCGTGAAACAGGTAAGGCTCAATTTCAAAGTAAAGAGATTTTAACAGTTGATTTCTGTGTTCTCCGAAAAGCACAAAGGCGTCTATCTGCGAAGAGCTGCTATCAAACGTTTGCTCTAAAAGAGACAGATTTTCGTTCCTCAAGGTCTTTGTATTGGATTTGGCTTTACCAAATATAGAAACAAAACAACATGGCGCAAACACAAAGGAAAATATTTTTTTCTTCTAAGATAGAGAGGTATACAGAAAAACGTTAAGCAAAGAAATGCAAGCAGATACATTCGTTCAAGGAAGAGAAACAGAGAAGAAGGTACAAATTGGTCGATAAATAAACATTAGCGCATTGAGAGAGATAGACAAAATAGTATTGCAAAATATTTCCATTGTTTGCTTGCTAACATCTACTGATGGTTGCCAACAGGGGACACATAACTGTCTGTCGGTAGGGGAAGGAATCGTTGATTTCTTGACCGTTTGTAATTCCTGAGTTGATGGAAGTGGCTAACTGTAATAAGAAGGCAAGGGTGGATTTGGTAAGATTTGCTTAAAAAAAGAAATACGAGGGCGCAAAGGAAGGAAGGAAGGAAGGAAAGGCAATAAAGAAAGTGTGCGAAGACAATAAATATTTTGAAAAGAAAGAATTGGAGGAAAGAAAAAGTGGGATAAATGAAGAGAGAGAGGGTTAAAATAAAATCTTAAACTCTAATGAAATGGCAAAGGTGGATTCCGTTAGAAGATATATATATATATATATAAAAAGAAAACGATAAAAATACGAAACTGAAAGAAAGAAAGAAAGGAAGAAAGAAAATTATGACATATGAGAAAGAAACAAAATATTGGGAAACTCGACAAATTTTTTTTTAAAAAAACACGAAAGTTTTAAACTGAATACCAAGAAAAGAAAGAAAGACAGAAAGAAAGACAGAAAGAAAGAGGAGTAAAGAAAGAGGAGTAAAGAAAGAAAGAAAGAAAGAAAGAAAGAAAGAAAGAAAGAAAGAAAGAAAGAACAAAAATTGACTTATGAGAAAGAATCAAAATATTGAGAAAATCGACAAAAAAAACACAAGCAAGAAAGATTTAAACTAAATACGAGGAAAACAAAGAAAGAAAGAAAGAAAGAAAGAAAGAAAGAAAGAAAGAAAGAAAGAAAGAGAGAAAGTGAGAAAAAAGTGAGAAAGTGAGAAAGGGAGAAAGTGAGAACGCGAGAAAGAAAGAACAGGATTAAAGAAAGAAAGAAAGAACAGTAATAAAGAAAGGGTCAAAATAAGGTCTTCATTACAAAAGGGAACGTATCTTTGGTGGATAGTTTGGCGCTGGGCTGATATAGTTGTCAATATCAATCAGTGTGAAAGTGAAACTGGCCCGTGGCCAGTTCACCGTTCTGAACACTGGTCGCTCCAGCGATACCTACAAGCCCCAGGGTCGGGCACGACGCGGACGCTTGGCAACATATTGAAGCTTGACTATGGGTCATCGGACACCTGAGGCCGTTTGGCCGGAGTTTCGCTGCTGGTCGCCGTTAATGAAACTTGTGCCGTTCGCTAGAGTTATGGCCACTTACCAACACTGAGAATGAGACTTTCATGTGATCTAGATTGGCCAGCGGACTGATAGACCCGCTGTGAGTGACCACCAGGGGAGCCATGAAAGAGGCTAAAATGAGCAGCCTGAGAGATGGCGTTTGAAAATATTCGTGCGAAAAGGAAATTGGAGAAAAGGAGGAAAGGGACGAGAGGTTGTTTTAATAGGGGAGATGCAAAGAAAGATAAAATGCAGGTTCGGTAATAGAACGACGAAGAAGGAAGGCTGGGAATCAGAAAGTTATGAGGAATTTAGAGAAAGAAAATATAAAGAACTGCCGGACGAGCAAAGAATGATAAAAAGACCGTATACGAGGAATTCACAGACAGAGATACAAAAACTGATGTGTACGAATAAGGAAAAGTGAGAGGTGAATAAGTTCATGAAAAAGGGATATCCGGTGATAAAGAAAGCATGCTGAAGCGAGAAGAAGGGGGAGACAACTCATAGAAGAAAAAAAAGAAAGAAATGTTGTTTGATTTATAGGGTATTAAATAAAAAAATGAAAAAGGATGTCATCAGAAAAGATAAGACAAAATGGAAGAGTCAGAAAGATATAATGCAGAACAGATAATGGGAGGAGTTAGGCATGTTGCAGAGGAGAAAGAAAAATAAGAAATGAAAATAGAAATACATATGACTAGAAAGAAAGAAAGAAAGAAAGAAAGAGAAAGAAAGAAAGAAAGAAAGAAAGACAGAAGGGAAAGAAAGGAAGGAAGGAAGGAAGGAAAGAAAGAAAGAAAGAAAGAAAGAAAGAAAGAAAGAAAGAAAGAAAGAAAGAGGAAGGAAGGAAGGAAAAGAAAGAAAGAAAGAAAGAAAGAAAGAAAGAAAGAAAGGAATGAAGGGAAAGAAAAGAAGGAAGGAAAAGAAAGAAAGAAAGAAAGAAAGAAAGAAAGAAAGAAAGAAAGAAGGAAAAGGAAGGAAGGAAGGAAGAAAGAAAGAAAGAAAGAAAGAAAGAAAGAAAGAAAGAGGAAGGAAGAAAGGAAGGAAAGAAAGAAAGAAAGAAAGAAAGAAAGAAAGAAAGGGGGAAAGAAAGAAAGAAAGAAGGAAAGAAAGAAAGGAAGGAAGGAAGGAAGGATCACCTATGTGAGAGACTATTCCACAATATAGCAGTTCTTAAAAAAAAAACTTTCCCTTTACATTTGGAATGCGGAGGAAATGAGAGTGATTCGACTCCATGGATGTAAAGATCTGAACTGGTGGAACTAAAGATTGGAGCCCATCCGAACATTTTTATAAATGACTGAAAGTATCTTCAAACCTCTAGCAGATTTTTCAGTATCCTCACAGACTTCAGCAACGACTTCGTCTCAAGCCTAACCCAAATCATCTAGACACGATTCCTGTACTTTTCGTAGAATTTAAAGTGCCACTTACGTTATGGAAACGATTCTAACTTTTATATTTCTAATCTTTCTCGATATTTCTTTAATTGTTCACTCCCTCCTCCCATTCATCCTGAGCTCTATTCACGCAGTTTCAATCTAGCTGGCTTTTCAATATGTTTGTTATTCACAAGATGGGGTTGTCGATATGGGTGGATTTTGTGGTTTTTGGTTTACAAAATATTAATTTGTGCTAATATCGTTTGTTTACATAATTGAACCCAAGTTATTTGCACTGTCTGATTGTTGTCTTCACCCCATCGTGAATATTTTTGTATTCATGTTGTATCTGTCTATATTTCTGAGATGAGGCATTATGTACATTATTTACATTATTTGGACTATTATCCTCATCTTTGACGCCATATTTATCACAAAGTTTCGGCCGTTGTACGCTTCGGCTTCTTCAGGTGGTTGGAATGTCGAATCTGAACCCTTTATTTCGCTCACTAGGGTAGACTGTTCTACTTCCACGTGCCATGTTTAATGGATGTCAGTTATCAGTTATCCTGTTAATTTTCCCTCTGAAAGTTCTCCACTGCCTTAACCGGGTATTGAACTCACACTCTTTAGGTCCTATCCTTGAGGACACATGGCACAGTGGATAAAGACGTTGGTTAGATTCAGTGACAGAACCCAAAAAGAGTGTGAGTTCAATAACCGGTTTAAACGTGCCTTAACCGACTCGGCCACAAAGGAGCATTCGGTAGGCTAGGTCGAATTTACTGCTTATAAACTTCAGCGTAAATGACGGTTCCGTATAGGATGCAGGTTCGAATCCTGTCAAAGGACGAATATTTTCTATGAAAATTTCTCGGACATTCAGGCCGGTAAATGTTATTTAATACTGTTTATTATAAACAGAGCATTTACTTAAATACTTGTATCTATAAAAAAAGAACGTTAAATAAAAATGTCTTTTAATATATATATATATATATATATATATATATATATATATATATATATATACAGATATATATATAGATATATAGATATATATAGATACAGATATATATATATAGATAGATATATATAGATACAGATATATATATATATAGATAGAGAGATAGATAGATAACATTAGTGGTCAATATATATATAAAAAATTCCCAGGGTATAGAATCCAGGCAGAGCTCAATATCCAGGACATAGGAAGAATATAATATATGACTCAAACACTAATATTCCATGGTTATAATTTATTCCATTGGAATTGTAATCACGATCCAATTCATCAGACGTACAAATTCAAAAATTTCAATAAAAATAAATTATAACCATGGAATATTAGTATAAAAGATGTATAAGCAAATGTCTTAAAATATATGTGTATATAAACTCACACACACACACACACACACACACACACACATATATATATATATATATATATATATATATATATATATATATATATATATATATATATGAGTTTGCTGGAATTTCCTTCAGAATTTCTTCTGCTTTGTCATACAGCATTTCAAGGCGACAGTATCATTCTTTGTTCTGTTTCTTCGTGTGACATTCATCAAAACGTTCTGCAACATTAAAAATGTCTGCTGTCAGAATATCAATATCATCTGAGAGAACCTCGTTGAGAACTATGGCGAGATTACCATTTCTCACATGAAGGAACCGTATAGATATCAAAATATCAACTGCCATAATATCCCGCAAGCACTCATCTATTGCATGAAGGGCGTAGCATGATAACATTGATGCTTTATCAATAATGAATATCTTCACTGGCTTGGGGGGTAATTTGCCTGTCCTCAGTTAGGTGAAACATTGCAAAACACTTGTTTCTTTTAAAGGAATAGGCAATTTGAATAGAAACTGAAGATTTTTTTTCACTCTAGTCACTCCAGTTAATAATGTTGCAGCTGCACCTATCCTGGCAGCTGTTAATGCCATAATGTTGTTTGCAGTTAAGCAACTATGTACAGGGAGAGTCAAAATTATGTAAACACTAGTATGAGAAGAATCATTTATTCAAAACTTACTGAACAGTCTTCACCTGTCCACCGGCACGATAGATGCACAAAAACCAGCGATCAACACTAAAATTTAGTGCCTTGACACATTTCACGGGGTATGCTTGTATTACGCCTTTTATTCTGGCTTTGAGTCCTTCGAGGTCTCTAGATTTTTTTTATTTATTTTATTTTATTTTTTTTATATATACACGCGATCATTTATCATACCCCATACCCAGAAGTCACACGGTGTCAGATCAGCATAGTGTGGTGGTCATGCCAACGGTCCGCAGGGACCGATCCAACTATTTCCTGACCTTTGATCGAGACAAGCGCGAATAGTACGGGTAAAATGAGGAGGTGCACCATTCTGTTGGAAATACCTTACTCTTCTGATTTGCAGAGGTATGTTATCAATGGCAAACTATTGCAGAATTTATAAGTAGGCAACTGCAGCCACCGTTCGAATTGTAAAGAAATAGGGTCAAATTTCACTATGTGACTTTTGGTTTTCTCCTTTCAAGTGACCTCTGCGCAAATAATTCAGTATCATTTAGAAGGTTTTTCATTTTTAGTAGAATCTCTAGAGAGCTTTTTTTTTCTTCCTGTTTTGTTTTTTCATTCAATATTTATTCAGCTTTCATCTCCTAACTTTTTTGATAATTTTTGTCACCTAGGGAAGGTTACTGAATAGAATAATCACACAAAGTTTGGTAATGAACGATAATACTTAGGACAAGAAAAACACATATAAGATTCGCCAGCATTTAACCACAGAGTAAAAATTTAGAAAAATATTCTCTGTAATCTAATGTTTTATTGAATTTTATGTACTTTGGCTTTTGAATTACTATGCTTATAGTTCTTATTTTCTGATAATGTCGTGTATGGACGCCCGCATTTACAAAAATTGGCACGTTTATACACATGAAAAGATATTCAAAATTATTTTAAAAATATTGGAGGTCACTAATGAATAGTTTTTACTTAGTAACAATATTACTTAACCGGGACGAATTTTAAAATAGTTAAAATTTTATAAATTATTATAATTAAAATATAAAAAATGAAAACAATTCTTGTAAAATTTATTATTCATCGAGAAAAAGTTTTCTTAAGACAATGCCATCCATTATATATTTTATTCATAAAAGCAATTGAAAGCTTTACTAATTAACTAATGGCTTAATTTTATAGAATATTTATTTTACGATTCAGTGAAGATTTTCGGTAATTTGGATCCTGTTTTACATAAAGAAACTAATGTATTTAAATTCTACTTTTGACTAATATAATTATTGCGCGAAACAAAACTTAATTTCTCGACATTTCATAAAAATTAAATTAATTGGGGTAAGAATATCTTTTCCAAGATTTTCTAAAAAAAGAAACATTCCAAAAATTAATGCCATTCATTTATGAATAAGTTCTGGAAGTTTCATAAAAATCCGATAATTTTTGGATTTTTGTAAGAATTTCCAAATCAATGTTTTTTACCAGAAAAAAAAAGCCGTCTTGGGTATGACGATAAACTACGTCCAAGAGCAAGGTCTCTGATCAGAAGGTTTTGAGGAGCGTGGAACCACTTCTTAATTGCTGTTGTTCCCAAGTCCACCCTGACCCGGGATGGTAGCATCCGTTAGGGTCCCAGCTATGGGTAAATAGTTAACCCCCAAACCGGGCTCAAAACACTATGAAAGTGTAAAAATAGGTTTTAATACCAGATATACTCCATAAAAAAATTATTACCAGCAATACATTCTTGAAAAACAAATATTACCAGCAATACATTTTTTGAAAAAAATATATTACTAGCGAAGGAAAATTCTTTCCAGTAATAGATTTTTGAAGGAAGTAATATTACTAGAAATAGATTTTTGAAAAAAAAATATTACCACTAATGAACATTTTGTCGGCATTGAATAATCCATTGAGGTTGATATGCCGTTAAACAAACCAAACCAACCAAAAAAGACGCTAAAATTTTGTATACTAATGATAATCCTTGCTCCACCCCGCTGATGCAAAAAAAAAAAAAATTTAATCAAAATTTCAAACATTCTAAAAAGGATAAAAAAAAAATAATTTAATAATAAAAAAAAAACCTTTGTTCTTTCCTCTTAATAATGACATAAAGATTTTGATGATAAAATTTTGTTTTTATTAAGGAATTTATTGGGGAACTTTTTCATCATGGCATGCTAAACTTTTAGCGAATCTTTGGAAATGCTTAATATTAATATATAAATAGTCAATGGTAAAATATTTCATTACGTCTTTTAAATTTATAAACCATGTGCGCGTGTTCTAATTATTAGAGCGTTTTTTCTAACCATGATACCCTGGTTTGAATATCATCAAGGTCATTTAGTCAAGAAGGTAACTTCTTCATGTTATCGGCCTGATGAAGCGATCCCTGTGCGCAAAAATTTTGGAAAATGCTTAAAAATCATGACTCATGTTGGCCCAAACCGTGTGAAGTTGGCCGAGGACATGAAAGAGTAAAACAGGCAATGCGATTGCATAAAACAGGAGGAAATAAAATCTAAAATAATCGATTTCAACACAAATTTTAAACTAAAATCTCCCACAAATTTTCAAGCAGTCTAATACAAACTTCACTCAATTGTAGCCAACAATGTTGACTCTTTAATAGTCATTTAGCATGAAAATTGAGTCCACCCATATCGTGAAAACCCACATAAATGGCGAAAAATGGCGATTTTTAATGGTTTCTTTCTTATTTTTCGTTGATCTTTCAACCAATTTTCATCAAACTTAACAATTATTTTATAAATGTATCCTCTCTTACGTCTCTGGTAGCACACTGACAAATTGAATTTCAAAAACTCCGAAATAATTGTGATCTGAAGTGGGTCTTCATGTTGCCTGTTTTACCCCTTCATGTCCTCGGCTAACTTTGATTGAATAAATACAGACTACTTCTGTTAATTCAGTAACTGCATTAATTCAAAATGTTTTTTTTTTAATGAAAGTACTTTAAAGTAATTGAAGAAGATAGATTCTTTTACATCTAAACATGATACTGTTTTTGCTCCATATTAACTGAACGCTTTTTCTGATAGACAAACTGGGTACTGCTGCTAGTAAATTATAAATCCAGTTATAGCCTGGTCCATTCTTTCGCATCCTCGTTTTTGAAAGAACCTCTTTTAATTTTATGATGAATTAATCCATTATTACTAATACATCCAATAACATGGATGTTTATTTCCCCTGGATCCAGCCGCGAATGTAGTGCACCTCGTGCCTTTTTTTGAGCGACCTTAACTTCTTGAAATATGGAGATTAAAATTGGTTTCATCCATATAAAGAATTGGAACACTTTGGGACTGAAATTCTAATAAAGCTACTGCGTAATCCTTACGTTTCGCATTATTGACATTATTATTGGCAGCTTCTGGTTCATAATGAACCGCTTTTAAACTATAGGCCATAGAATCACACGAACCTCATACTTTTCGACCAACTTATTTACAATGTCTTGAAGAGTGACCCTAGGAGAGTTTTCAATTAATTCGGCCATAAAATTCTTATGCTCTTGCGTAATTTTATATTTTCTTGCTCCTTCCCTAGAGTCACTCTTATCGGCACCCTGGTCTAACCAACGGTACGCCGTTGGCAGAGGCACACCAATTGTTCTTGCCAGGTCTTTCCAATTTCCTGCTGTGGCATGTGCAGCTAAAATCTAGGCCTTTTTTTTTTCACAAGCAAAGTTTTCTTGAAGTAAGTCCTCTTTGGAGCTGTTGCTAATTCTTCTTCAGCTTCTTTTGTAGCGGTTTCTCCAGCATCATCATCAATCATCATTTTTGACCATACGGGCCTTTCTCCTACTTTTACTGTAGGGTCACCCAATGCTTTCTTGGCCTCTAAGTTGTTTGTATTTTGGTTTTTTCTTCATCTATATAATGAAGACGAACAGTCAATTTCCTTACTCATGGGGTAAATTAATTGAAAAAATAATTTTCAATTTACCATAAAAATATCTTTGAAGCTGTTTATTCCTATTTTGAAGTTGTTTATTCTTATTTTGAAGTTGATTGTTTTTAGGTTTTTGACATTTTCTCAATTTGAAGTTGATTAATCCATTTTGAACTTGATTGATCCAATTTGAAGTTGATTGATCCATTTTGGAGTTAATTAATGTTTTTACTTTAAAATAAGTTCATTTTGAAGTTGATTATTATCTTTTGAAGTTGAAAAGATATAGAATTTGTCATTTTTTTGTCGTTAATTTCCATCGATTCCAATTCCTCTCTTTGTGCTAGAGGACATACCAACTTTATTATTATTATTATTATTATTATTATGGTGATTATTATTACTATTCACCAAGATTCCATAGGCTTACGGCTATATGAGGCTGAAACATCTGTTCTCGTTCGATCACCGAAGATAAGCAAAGTCGAGCCTGGTCAGTATCTAGACGGGTGACCGCTTGGGAATAACAGGTGCTAAAAGCTTGGATGTGTGGCTGATGTAATGAATAACGGCTCGGAATTGGAAAACAGAGAGCAAAGTTCCAATTCCAGTTGGGTTCGTTGTATTCACTCATGCGCAAATACGCTTGGGAAAGTTATGAATCCACCTCTTCTTCCCCCCAGCTATGGGTTAATTAGTAGGAATTGCATCAGTAAATCATTATCATTCCAAAAACATTCTCACAACTAAAAAACATTCCTTGTATTAAGTAACATGCAAAAGGTTGATAAACCGTAAAAAACAAATCAATCAATTCTTATCACCTCTGCCGACAATGTGCGAAAATCAACAAAATTAAAATATATATCAGAAGAAATAGATTGCAACATGTTTTTTATGCGAAATCCAGCCATATTTCATGATAATAATAATAATAATAATAATAATAATAATAATAATAATAATAATATGACCTGGAAATCAAAATAGGATCTAAGTATATAAAACCTGGAAATCAAAATTGAACAAATTTGGAAATTAAAAACAAGAATAGTACTAGTCATAGTAGGTGCGCTTGGAATGATAAAAAAAGGAACACAACACATTGAAAAAAAAAATTCCAGCTTAAAAGAAATACAAGAAAATATGTCTCGATTAGTACCGCCCACATACCGACCTCGATTTCTAGCACAGGCATGTATTCCCCAGGGCCGGGCACCTCACTGTGTGATTTTCTTCAGTTGAGACACTGTCTTGCGACAGAGACGCAACTGAGTAGCAGTCTGCCCGAAAACAGAGACGCAAGTGAGAGATGATAAAACCTTACACGGCATTGTGTCAATTAAGTATAATGTAGATATAACAACACACCACTACTTACCTTAGAAATCGAAATATTATAATAATAATAATAATAATAATATAAATGAAGTGTTGCTGAAAAGTTCTCATCGTGACCATCTTCCGAAAATCAGAATGCTGATGTATGGTTATTGAAATAATTAGTTTGGAAAGTTAATAGATCCGATAATTTTTCAGTATCCCGGCTGGGTGAGATAAAAATATACAAATACGTAATGCAGACAGACAGACAGATAGATAGATAGAGAT